AAATCTTCTCAGTTGTTCATTGAAAGTATCATGAATTTGAGCTTGTAACTTTAATATCTCCAGTTAAATTACCATGGCTCATGATATGTTTGCGAGCTTTGTCCCATTGCCATTCAGTATTATTCCATACAACAGAGGTCACACAAAATTGAGTAGTATTCCAGTCACATTTTAACTTCAGTTTTCTAAGTTAGTGATATGATCACCCATCATAACTACTGACTGTTCTAAACCAGTTAATCGAGAATTGATTTCAGAATCTGTCTTTGAGTTGACCATAATTTTTCAGAATCACTATGCCATTTTTTTACATAATCTACTGTTTGAACATTTTGATGCAGAGCACCTCTAGCATTAGCTGCTGTAGCTGTTATGGCTATGATCTCTAAAACAGCAGCAATTAATACTCCAATAAATCTCTTGCTTTTTTTTAATAGCTGATTCACTAGATGCTCTAAAAGCATCAGCTCAGGAGATGACTGCCATTTATGACTCAAATTAACAGGAAGCCATAACCCAATTCCAGGTATATAATCTATACACTCTCATTAGGTGGTAGAGAAATAGAAGAATTTGAACAGTATACAGAGAGTGTTTGTTGCAAGTCAAAGTTAAATTATCTGCCTCCCATTTAGTAACTCCTTTTAAGAAAAACATAAGCTTGATATATAGCTAGATATATATCTAGTCTCATTTTTCTTAAAACTTAAGTGTGTAGTATAGTTTGCATCATCATTAGAATAATTCCCAATCCAGATCCTCATATATTTTAGAGCAGTACCAATTTTCCATAAATGTTTTTGATAAGGAAAATGCTGAAAATAAGGATATGGTTCTACCACCATACCAACCCCATGCCAAGTGATGGTGTTATTATCATTTATAGTTATAATTGTGCCATATTCTTTTCTGTGCCATCTTAAATCTTTATTCTGTCCTTTCTGGTGAGCAGAGCCTACAGGACTCCGATCTATGACACTTCCATAGGAAGTATTAACCAGAACTTGGCCCTTTTCTCCTCTACATTGCACCCAATAGATCCATTTTCCTGCAGATGACAAAGCAGACATATGACACAAAGGACTGTCAGGATGATGTGTAAGATTCTCACTAACATTTTGCTGAAATCCATTACCTTGAAATATATAATAGGGAGGAGTATTATTTCTATCAATTTTATGGGTCCAAGCTTGTGCTGCTAATTTTAAATAATGACTCTCGTGTCCTATACAAATAGGAAATACTCCAGTTCCAATGCTAACATTTTCCCAATGCATACCTTCTTCATTTGGTTTCAGAGGTCCTCTACTATCATGAGGACCAGGGAGCCATTGACTATCATAAATGGAAATAGTAGTATCTGTCCAATGAACTGTTTTAAGCAATGGTGGGTGTAGAATATATGCCTAGTAACTATGATTTTCTGCCATGCCTACTTGGGTTAATACAGCAAGCATAGCTAAAAACAAATTCTCGTGAGACATTTGTTGCTGTGCATTCTTAATAACTTTCCCTGCTTCCATTGTCAGCTGTTTTATCTGGCCCCAAGTTGAATTCTCTGCTTTCCTGGTCTCTGGTAGCAGTCCTCTCTTTTGTCGTTTCTTTTAGGTCATCAGACTCATCCATTCTGCTATTCCATCCTCACCGAAGTATGGCCTCTTTTGACTCATTTTGCAGTTTGATGCTTCTTGCTGGAACCCACAAAAATTCTCTTCCTGTAGAGATATAAGCAAATCCTTGACCCCATTGAATAACAGATCCTTTTTTCCATTCATTAGTTGGAGGGTGTCTAAAATATATATACTGATTCAGCTCTTTGATTGCTTGTAATACCCAGTGTCTTTCTGCTGGAGTTTCTCCTTTCTCGTTAGAATTTTAAAAATTAAAAGTAAATAAGGCTTTTTGTAAAATAGTTTGAGGAGATGTTATTTGTTCTACCCATCTCCCCCCTTTTTGTTTTTTTCAACATAGTTTACAAAGTCAAATAGTTCTTTCTATTATAGTTTATCTTTGGGGATTATAAGGAATATCAGTAATATGTTTAATGTTCTATTCTATTACATTTATATAAATATATTTATATAAATTATATATGTAGCTCTTATGGCCTAGTGGCAAGAAGCTGCGCTGCACTCCCAAAGGCATGCAGTTCGAAGCCACCAGCTGCTCCACAGGAGAATGGGCATTTCCCTCCAGTGAGATTAACTACCTCTAAAAACCCACCAAAGGGTCAGCTATGGGTCGGTACACAACAATAACTATCTCAGATATATCGAAGCCAAAGTGCAGCAGTGATGAAATAAGGGAACTGAACAGAATATTTTTGTTGTTATTTTTGTTTCTTGAACACAGCATTTTAAGGATGGCTTGAAAAGCAAAGCAAAGTAATGTAATGAAATGTACAAAGAGCTGAAGTTAGAAAACCAAAAGGGAAGAAAGAACATGCTTGTCATGTCTCAAACCTAAAAAAAAAAAAAGGAAAAAACTTTAAGCCCAGAGTTGCACTACTAAAGGATTCTATGGGTAAAATCTTGAATGATGCAAGAGGTGAAAGGAAGATGGTAGGAATATACAGAGTTACTGTACCAAAAAGAATTGGTCAACACTGAAGCATTTCAGAAAGTGGCATATGATCAAAGACTAATAGTATTGAAGGAAGAAGTCCAACATGCCCCAAAGGCATTGGGGGTGAGGGTGGGGAGGCAGACCCCAGGCGTTGATGGTATAACAATTGAAATGTTTTCACAATCCTGGACCTACTTTTTTGTGCCAAGAAATTTTGAAGATAGTTACCTGGCCAACATCATGACAGATGAAGAAAAGATTGAAACTCAACAATTTCATCTTACTTGGATCTACAGTCAACAACCTTGTTACTAGCGGTTAGGAAAGAAAGATGTGTATTGCACATCAGGGAAAGTCTGCAGTTAGGGACCTCTCCAAAGTATTGAGGAGTAAAGATGTCACTTTGAGGACTAAGGTGTATCTGATTCAAGACATAGTCTTTCCAATCACTTGCTATGCATCTGAGAGCTTGACAGTCAATAAGGATGAGAGAAGTAGAATTTATACCTTTGAGCTCTGGTGTTGGAGAACAGTACTGAACATCCCATGGACTGCTAAAAGAACAAACAAATATGTCTTAGAGAACGTGGATCCAGAGTGCTCTTTCAAGGCAAAGATGATTAAATCTTCACCTTGAGTATTTCAGGCATGTTGCTATAAGAAGGGGCTATTTCTTGGAGAGGGACATAATGCTCAGAAAGGCAGAGTTGGCAAAGGAGAGGAAGATCCTCAGTCAGGTGAATTGACACAGTGTCTGCCACATTGGGCTCTAGTGTGTCAGGAAGTGTGAGGATGGCACAGGATAGGACAGGATTCAGATCTATTGTTCATAAGGATGCTATGGGTTGTACTCAACTCAGTGGCACCTAACAACAACATCCAACATCCTGGCCAACTAACTAGAAGAGATCTATAGTAGTGGCCATTGGAAAAAAAAAAAGAAAAAGGTGATTCACCATATTGTGGAGGTAATCTGACTACCTCATTAATAACTCATGCAAGTAAAATGTTGCTGAAGATTATTTAAAAATTTTTGGGAGAATACATCAACCAGAAATTCAAGCTAAATTCAGAAGTCATTTCAGAAGTCATGGAATGAGGGCTATCATTACTGATGTCAAATGGATTTTGGCTGACGACAAAGAAAACCAGAAAGATGTTTACTTGTGTTTTATAGACTATGCAAAGACATTCAACAGTGTGTATCATAAAAAATTATGTATGGGTAACATTGAAAAGGATAAGAATCCAGAATAATCGTGCTCATACAAAACCTCTACATAGACCAAGAAGCAGTTTTCTGAACAGAACAAGGGAATGCTGCATAGTTTAAAATCAGAAAAGATATGGGTCAGTGTTAAATCTTCTCTCCATGCCTATTCAGTTTATATGCTGGGAAAAGTGCAGGCAGGTTCAGCATGGATTGACACAAGTGACTACAACAATGGGCTAGACATGATGGGTATTATGAAAATGGTACAAGGTTCAAATCTGTTGATAAGAGTCTCCTTGAGTCATAGTCTACTTGACAACCCATAGCAACAACAATGTATAGTGGGGGGGGGGAATATGTATGTAAATACTAGTATTTTTTAATGAGGATTTTTATGTTATTTTTATGTACATATTTTTAAGCTTATTCTACAGTTTATAGTTTAAAATAGATAATAATTCTTTGTGACATTCTTTTCAGATCCCAATTCTTTCTAACTCTCTGATTTCCATATTTTCATATAAACCAAACTTTAAAAATTTCCTAGAAAGACCCTTAAATTAATAGTGACTGTTAGGTACTTTATTCTGTTAGTGTCTTTATTCTGGTTTGTAGCGTAATTAAACTGAGAGTTGCGTTTGAAGGAGATTTTTTTATATTCATTTTAAGTGAATTACTATTTTAAATTCCTTGGGAACATATGTAAAAAATCATGTAAATATGTGAATAAGAACAATATCTTTTCTTTAAAGAACATAAATTAATTTATTTAAAATGTGCACTGGCTATATTGTTTGGATAAGTTTAAAAGAATTAATATCTGAACCTCAGGGGAAACTGCCACAGGGTACAATTTTGGGTTAATTATGAGGTTAAGGTGGAGGGTCAACCTAACAATGAAATGGATTGACATGTTCACTGTAACAGTGTGCTCAAGTGTGCTGGAGAGGGTGAGGATGACACAGGATAGGGCAAGGCTGAGATACTCTGTTCTTCGAGTCACTATGAATCATAGTCAATCTGACAGCACTTTACAATATAAGCTTAAATTATTAGGTATAACATTGCTAGTCTCTCACTCTTTACATGTCTGGTTTTAGTTAACAAAGGTGGAATATCTTATCTTACTGCAGAAGATATTTTAAGGTAGTAGTATTTCCATTTTTTAAAACTTTAACCACCAGTATATTAATAGTGACTTTTCTGTTCCTTCTCCCCAAAGGTTTAGGTTATGCTGATGTTGAGAACCGTGTACCCTGTAAGCCAGAGACAGTTATGAGAATTGCCAGCATCAGCAAGAGTCTCACCATGGTTGCTCTCGCCAAGTTATGGGAAGCAGGAAAACTGGATCTTGATTTTCCAGTACAACATTATGTTCCTGAATTTCCCGAAAAGGAATATGAAGGTGAAAAGGTAGTGAAACTCATAGTTCATTTTACTAATGCTGTGTTAGATAGTTTATGCTAGAATTTATGTTAAAAATGTTTCTTAGAATATTTTTTAAATATTTTTAACTCTTTTTTATGGGTTAGATTTTTGCTGCTGTTGTTTTGTTTTAATCTGGATGATAACCTGGTGCACATTTTTTCCCTGTAACTTGTATTTATATATATAAATATATCCAGGATTTGGCTCAAAATGGAAAAAGATTTTTGAGGAATTGTGCCAAGGCTACAGCTTTGTGTTGTATGGTTTATTTAACATTGCAATTGAATTCTTATATTTTTATGGTTAGGTTTCTGTCACAACACGATTATTGATTTCTCACTTAAGTGGAATCCGTCACTATGAAAAGGACATGAAAAAGGTGAAAGAAGAGAAAGCTTACAAAGCCTTGAAGTTGATGAAAGAGACGATGGAATCCGACCAAGAAAGACAGTTGAAAGAGAAAGGATGCAAAAATAATGAACATAATGACTTTTCTAAAGCTAAGGCAGAGCAGGATGGTGAAGCCAAAGGCCGGAATGCAAAGCCTGGCAAGAAAAAGAATGACTTTGAACAAGGCGAATTATATTTGAAAGAAAAGTTTGAAAATTCAATTGAATCCTTGAGACTATTTAAAAATGATCCTTTGTTCTTTAAACCTGGTGAGTGTTAATTTCTTCTCCTAACAAAGTTTTCATTATTGGAACATTAATTTTTAGGAAATCCAAAGTGATAGACGAGATTGATGGTTGTGACATTTAAGATTGTTGTTCTTGTTGTTAAGTGCCATCGAGTCATAGACGAACTCATAGTGACCCTATGAACAAAAGACCTGAACACTTCTATAACTTGCATCATTTCTCCAAGTTCATAGTGTTTCTGGAGGCAAGCTATATCAGAAATGGATGCCACTCCTGCTTCCAAGCTTGTTTTAACCTGGGAGCTCCACCAAACATTGTCCACCTTGGGTAATCATTATCGCATTTGACCCATCAGTGTCACAGTGTTCACCATCACAGCAACCACAAGTTACCTCTGTACAGCCAATGGACAGACCAGTGCTATACCACTTAGAAGAATGTTTGACCAAAACCAATTAAAACCAGACCTGAGGGCCGCAAATAAAAATCACCCACCTTTGGTTTGGTAGCATAACTTTCTGTCCACTAGGCCAACTGAGCTCTCTCGTTGTTGTTATTGTTGTTGTTGAGTACGTTGAGTCATGGGTTTATATACTTTTATTCCCTTTTTATTTGTAACACTTTATAATCATGAATGAATACTTATAGGTATAATTAATAAGCACAAATAAAATATAATCATGGATGGATTTTTGCCTTTAAAAAATAAGGTTCCCACCTGCTTCTAGTATAAACAATCTTAGTTTCTGGGATCCAATATGATATAAAGATATGTACTTTAAATATATATTAGGACTATATCTACATGTATTTTATTAAAAATACAAACTAGTATGTCTATTCATGCCTTAGTATGTCTATTCATGCCTTAAGCAATAGGAATTTTATTAAGAAGAAAATAATTGACTTAAGAAAGTAAATTTGCTTTTCTTTGCATTTCTATTTTGTTGCCAAGTGGAAAGATTTTGTTTGGTTTTGAGGTAGAATTTGTTTCCTTAACTCAGTATCACAAAAGCAGGCAAATTCATGCAAAAATTTAAATATAGTAGTCATCATTTATTGTGTGTCAAGGACATAAGCTAGACAGGGCCATTGCAGAGTTGACTTTCTTTGTTTATATTATCTGTGATAATTTTTCTAAAGGCTGAATTTAAACATTCTAATTTTACAAGTATGAACATTTTCTGTGGGAAAATATTTTTACATCTTTTTAAAATAATAATCAAGCATTTTCTTTTCTTCCCTCCTGTACAATGATGTCTCAAGGTAGTCAGTTTTTGTATTCAACTTTTGGCTATACCTTACTGGCAGCCATAGTAGAAAGAGCTTCAGGATATAAATATTTGGACTATATGCAGAAAATATTCCATGACTTGGATATGCTGACAACTGTGCAGGAAGAGAATGAGCCAGTGATTTACAATAGAGCAAGGTAAATGACTACCTGTGGTGTGTGTCGCTTTATCACATCTTAACGCTGTTATCAACTGAAAAATTTCACTTTCCTGATCTCTGTGCCAAAGTTGAGTTGACACATTTGAGAGAAATAGTGTTTTTCCTTCCTGTCTGTTTTTCCATCTATAAAATGAGAAAATTATGTTTTTGTAAAGTACCCCAACATCATTAAGTGAAAGATAGCAATAAGAATTCCAGCATACAAATAATTAAATAAAAATTCATTTATCCTGGGCATCTGTAATTTGCTCTTCAGTCGAACTTTTTCTTATAATCTTTAGTTAAGGCCTTGTTTGCCTACTTTTAGTTATTTCCTGATGTTTTAACTTTTATTATGAAATAATTAGACTCCTAGAAGTTATAAGAATAATACAAAGAATCTCAATATATCCTTGGCCCAAAATTTCCAGATGCTATAATTTTATTACATTATGTTGGGTTTCCCCCTCTAAATCGTTTCGAAGTAAGTTGTCGATATAACATCCCTTTTATCCCTAGACACTTAAATGTGTATTTTCTCTAAACAAAGACTTTTAAGAAATTAATGTTGATACAGTGTTTTCATTAAATCTGTGGTTATTATTTTGTAAAGAAAATTCATGTTTTGCCAATTTTCCAAGTAATGTCTTTTATCAAAAAAGAGAATAAAACAATTTTTTTTTCTGGTTTAGCATCCAATCCAAGATCATATTTAGTTGTCATCTCCTCTTTCTTTTCTATCTTTGTCTTTTATGATGTTGATGTTTTTAAAGAATGTTGTCCTTTCATTCTGTTAAACTATCCTTTAATTTAGTCTCATTTCATGTTTAGATTCAGGCCAGGTTATTTGGGCAGAATACCACAAAAGTGATGATGTGTATTTCTGCATGGATCATAATAAAGACACATGATACCAATTTTTCCTGTTATTGGTGATGGTGATTTTGATTGCCTGTTGAAATAATGCTTGCCTAGTTTTTTCACAGTTAAATTACTTACTGTCTTACTGTCTTTCTCCTTGAGATTAACAGATACATGATGGAGAAATACTTTGAGACTATGTTAGACTATTTCTCAGTAGATGTCCTTCTACTAGTGATGGTTACCAAATGATGACTTTTGTTGTTGTTCTGGTATTTTTTTTTTATTTTGTTGTGTATGGTCGAATGGGATCCAACTAGCACAGGAGGAGATTGCCCCTCTTTCTCCAGCAGAGCATCTGATGGATTTGAACCTTGAGTCTTTGGAATTGCAGTGAATCTTTTTTCCACCAGGCCACCAGAGCTCAAATGATGGACTTTAATTCTGCCTTTTTTTTTTCTGTATTTATTAGGTGGTATTCTTATATAGGGAAGTGCTTTCCCTTCTCTCTTATTTATGTATATATACTGATTTCTCAATGTGTACTCATAGCTTCTTATTTTATTCAGTGAGTTAAAATCTGTTACTGTCATTATTTAATACGTTGTTTTGAAAATATTGTCTAAAATATAAGAAGGTGAAAACTTTCTGAAGGTAAATAGCTATTAAGTTGCTTAGACATATATTTATATGTTTATTCAAAGAGTTTAGATTTTATTTTGTCCAAGTTAATAGTTCAATATTGAAATACTCTTCTAATTATGATTATATAAACCTCCTACTGCATGCCTTTAAAATAAGAGTAGTTAAAAATTTTAGTATATTGTAAAAATGTGTCATCTAAATAAAATAACTGTTGTTGTTGTTGTTATGTGCCATCGAGTCGTTTCCAACTCATAGCGACCCTATGCACAACAGCTCTAAACCCTGCTCTATCCTGCGCCAACCACACCGCCTCTGACACACCCATCCCAATTACCCCAGTCACCGAATCAATCCATCTCATAGGGGGTCTTCCCCTCCTGCGCTGTCTTTTGTGCAAAGCTTACTCTCAGTTGTATTCGACTTGATGATACTTAACCACTGCTAAATGAGACTAATGCTGTTATATCTGGAAGAACACTCTTCCACTTTGTACATCACTCTTGGTCAATGTGCTGTATTGACCAAATAACTGAGCATTTAAAAAAATACAGTTTTTAAGGCCTTTTATAGTTAGACCTCATTTAGTGTTTTTGATGGCACTTTGTTTAAATGCACTCTAACTAATTGAGCATTTTAAACATTTGGCTTTCTAGTTAGACACCTTTAGTATTTCAAAGCTCTAGTGGTATAACTGTTATGGAGTTGTACTGCCAGCCTAAAGGTGGTGCTTTTTCTGGCTGTAAGAAACCACCAGCATTCCCCAGAAGAAGAATGGGCATCTCCTCTGGTGTGATTGACAGCCTCCAAAAGCTCCTGCAAGTGTCAGGGACAAGTTGGTTCCAACTCAGCAGCAGTGAGTCAGTCAATGAGTTAGTACGTGGGCATTTTTCAGTCCTGTATATTTAATTTGGAAATATTTAAACTATTATTTCTCTTAGTTTTCCAATGTAAAATATTAAATTGAAGTTACTGTATATTAATTTTGTTTTGGTATAATGATGAAAATTCTAAGCAAATTGTGCAGGTTATTACATACTTTTGGAAAGGCTTCTGAACAGTGATATTGGTGAAATAACTAGAATTTTTATCCTTAAGAGGAATGAATGCTATTGTTTTAGATAATTCCATAGTTTGATTACTTTACTGTCACTATATAGAAAGGCTTATTTAGCTTTTTAGCACTTTAAAAGTTAGCTGTGCTGTAGAGAGATTTCTGTGATTATAATTTAGATCCCTAATTGAACTTGTGTACTTCAAAGTCACAAATGGGAACATTTGGATAACTGCCTTTTAAAATTCTCTTCATATAAATTCTAGAACTTTGTAGAGAAAATTTTGAGACAGAAAATGGAAAAGATCAAGACAAACAGTGTTAACAAATGTAACAACTATTTATGTTACTTTTAAAGTAATTTTGAGTTTTGATTATTAGGGGAGAAGATATTTGCCAAGCAAATGTCTGAACTTTTAAAAAAGCTAAAAGCTTTAACCTAGAAAGAGCAAAGAAAGTCATGAAAGAGCAGTTATCAGATCTTGTCCATTTTCTCTTGATTACATTTGTTAAATATTTTTGTTTTTACTGCTATTTTTTTATTGCTCCACCCCCCGTTTTTTTTTTTTTTAAAACCCTAGTGTAGTGGTTCCTAAACCGTAAGTTGTGATCAATTAATAAGTAGGAAAATAGCGAGTTGAGTACCAGCAATTACTTCTTTAATATGGAAAATAACAGAATATATTGTTGCTGTTAAGTGCCTTCAAGTTGATTCTGAATCATGGTGACACTATGAAGGACAAAACAATGCCCAGTTCTCTGCCAGCCTCACAAATGTTGCTGTATCTCCAGATAGCCCATGGTCTGATTGTTATTGTTGTTATTATGTGCTATTGAGTCACGTGCGACTCATAACAACTCTGTGTATAACAGCTCTGAAGCCTGCCCTGTTCTGATCCGGTCTCACTGACTCTGCGAAACATCTACCCCCCATTGCCCCAGTTACTGTATCAATCCATCTCATCCAGGGTCTTACTCTCCTGTGCCCTTCCGAGCATGATGTCCTTCAAGAATCGGTTCCTCCTGGCCACATGCCCAAAGTATGTGAGCCAGAACTTCAAAATCCTAGCCTCCAAGGAGAAACTTAGTTTCATCCTCTCTAGGACAAACCTGTTTGTTTTCTTAACAGTCCATTGATGTGTGTGTTTGTACTCAGTTGAAATGAAATAATAACCCTTACTACAGGGTTGAATACTCTTCTCCAACATCATAACTCAAAGGCATTAATTCTTCTTCTGTCATCCTTATTCATTGTTCAGCTCTCAGATGCATAGGAATTGATTAAAAAGACCATGGCCTGAATCAGGCACACTTTAGTCTTCCAACTGACATCATTACTCCTTAGTATTTTAGAGAGATCCTTGACAACAGACTTTCCCACTGCAACATGTCTTGATTTCTTGACTGCTGGTACCAAGGGTGTTGTTTGTGAATCCAAGTAAGATGAAATTGTTGGCAATTTCAATATTTTTTCCGTCTATCTTAATGCCTGTTGGCCCGATGGTGAAGATTTTTGTCTTCTTGATATTGAGATGTAATCCATATTGAAGACTGAAGTCTTTGATCTTCTGCAACTAGCAAGATTTTGTCATCTGACTAACACCAGTTGTTGAAGAATCTTCCTCTGAACCTGATGCCATCTTTTTCTTCCAGCTTCTCGAATTATTTGCTCAGCTGATGGATTGAATGTTGTTGTTTTGTGCCCTCAAGTCAAGTATAGCTCATAATGACCCTGTGAACAACAGAACCGAGCCCTGTCCTATCCTGAGCCATCCTCATCATCTCTGATATACGTAAGCCCATTGTTGTAGCTACTGTGCTATAACACAGTTGACGGTCTTCCTTTCTTTTACTGATCCTCCACCTTTTCGGCATGATGTTCTTCTCCAAGAAACACCCACTGCTAGCAACATGCCCAAAGTATGTGAGACATAGCTTCACCCTCATCCTTGCCTCTTAAAGAACACGCTGGCTGCTCTTTCTCCAAGATGTATCTGTTTGTTCTGACAATCCATGTGATAAACAACAGTCTTCCCCAACACCACAACCAAGAGGTATCTAATTTCCTTCTGTTATCCTTATTTATTGTCCAGCTTTCATATACATAACAAGTGATTGAAAAGACAGTGTTCTGAATCAGGCCTACCTTATCTTCAGCCTGATGTCATTGCTCCTCAGTACTTTGGAGTGGTCCCTGACAGCTGATTTTGACAATGCAATATGTCTTTTGATTTTTTTTTCCATTTGTGGTGCCAAGGGTATTGATTGTAGATCCAAATAAGATGAAATTGTTGACAGTTTTAATATTTTCTCCATCTATCATGATTTTGGCTTTTGGCCCAGTGGTGAGGATTTTTGTCATGTTGATGTGAGATATAATCCATATTGAAGTCTGTAGTCTTTGTGCTTCAAGTCATCCTCACTTTCAGCAAGCAAGATTGTGTCATCTACATACTGCAGGTTGTTGATGATTCTGCCTCCAATCCTGATGCCACATTTTTCTTCATAGACTTTAACTTCTTGAATTCATTGTTCAGCATACAGATTGAATAGGTATAGAGAAAGGATATAGCCCTGACACATACCTTTTCTTATTCTAATACATGCAAGATTCCTTGCTCTATTTGGATAACTTCTTGGTATAGTTGTTGTATAAGAGGCCCATTCTTCTCAATGTTAACTATAGTTGTTGTTATGATCCACACAGTCATTCCTTTCAATAGTCATAAAACACAGACATTCTTCTGGTATTCTCTGCTTTGAGCCAATGAGTGGGAGAAGCAGAAGAAATCTGTAACTGACTGTGATCAATTAGTTGTGGCCTCCACTGCACTCGGACCAGCCGGAAGACACAGTCTTTGGTTTCTGCAGAGAAAATAGACTGCACGGAGATGAAATAGTCTAACAAGTAAAACTAGTGGAGCAAGGCTGAATAAAGGCACAGATAATAGAATGTCTTAAAAGCAATAGGAAAATAAATGACCAGACAGAAAGAAAAAAGAATGGATGATATAACTGTCTGTGAGATATAGAAATTTAAGCTTACTTTGGGTGAGCTCAATCTTTTCAGTAAAACTAACAAAATTATCTGCTAATCAGGGGAGCTCTGGTAGCTTAGTGGCAAGAAGCTGTGCTATGATCCCAAAGACACGTGGTTTGAAGTCACCAGCGGCTCCTCAGGAGGATGGGCAATCTCCTTCCGTGTGATTAACTGCCTCTGAAAACCTACTGGTGGGTCAGCTATGGGTCGGTTCCGACTGGATGGCATACAACATTTGGAGAAAAATTGAGAGTAGAAGAGATTGAGAATAAATATTAAGAATATACTATGGAATATACAAGAGAAGAGTCAGGCGGGGGCAGGGAGGAAATTATAACAACAAAACCCTCAGCAAGACAATGAATGAATGGAAATCCAAAACCTCTGTAAATGTCTATTAAAAAAAAACACAACAAAACCAAAACCCTCAGCAAGAGTACAAAATGGTGCCAGTAAATTCTATTATGTTAATTTATGCAGCCTTCCTTAGCAGTAAGTAACCAAGGAAAGAGGTATTTAGTTTCAAAAAGAATTAATAAATTTTAAAAAAAAGAATTAATAAATTTCTTAAAAATTGGTAAATTAGTGTAACGTAGAAGAATATCTAATTCTACAGTTTCTAATGAGGCCAGAGTGGAAGGAGGTAGTTGAGTGGCTGATCGTGTATAATTTAGGCTAAAATAAAAACCAAGTGAAATCACCAGGAATTAATAAACCTAAAAAAATAGGGAAGAGGCGAGAGGAGGACATTGTGGCTCATAGCAACCATATGAACACCACATTGAAACCTCGCACTGCCCTATGCCATCCTCACAATGTCTGCCATGCTCACAATGTCTGCCATGCTCAGTTCTGTTGCTGTACTCACTGTGTCAGTCCATCTTATTGAGGGTCTTCCTCTTTTCACTGACCTTCTACTCTTCGAAGCATCATGTCTTTTTCCAAGGACGAGCACCTTTGACAACATGCCAAAAGCATGTAAGACAAAGTTTCACCATCCTTGCCTCTAAGGAGCACTCTGGTTACATTTCCTCCAAGACAGATTTGCTGCTTCTTTTGGCAGTCCATAGGATATTCAATACCCGTTGCCAGTACCACAATTCAGAGGCAACATTTTGTTGGTCTTCCTTATTCATTGTCAAAATTTCAGATGTATAAGAAGCAAATGCAAATACCATGGTTTTGGTCAGACACATCTTAGTCTTTTAACTAACATCCTTGCTCATTAGCACTTTAAAGAGGTCCTTGATAGCAGATTTTCTCAAAGCAACAATTTGAGTTCTTGACTCTTGCTATCACAGGCATTGATTTTGGATACAAGAAAATGGCATAAAAAAAAAAAAAGAAAATGGCATCCTTAAAAACGTGAGTCTTTTCTCCATCTATCATGATGTTGCCTATTGATCCACTTGGATAGTTTTTGTTTTCTTGATGCTGAGATATAATACTGAAGACTTTTTCAGCAAGTCCTTCAGAAACTCTTTATGTAAGCAAAGTTATGACATTTGCATAAAATAGGTTATTGATGAATGCTCTTCCCATCCTAGTGCCACAGTCTTCTCTTCTTATGTGTACCATCGAGTCAGGACTGACCCATAGCTGACCCTCCAGTGGGTTTTCAGAAGCAGTTAAGCATATGGGAGAAGATTGTTCATCCTTCTCCTGTGGAGCAGCTGGTGGTCTCATGTGCCTTTGGGATTGCAGCACAGCTTCTGGCCACTAGGCCACCAGAGCTCCTTCCAGTGGAATTAAAGGGTCACTAGGAGTTGGAATTGACTTGCCAGTGCACAACAGTAAGGATGAGAACTGGGATTCAAAATGAGGTCTGCTAATGTCAGCCTCTCCTACCACACTGAAAAAGGATCCTGACACATCACTATACAGGTAATTAATACGGCACTGTTGGCCAAGGAATCAAGTCTCCTTACAAATGTGACTTATATGCTTAGCCATCCCATTGTATACTCTTTTTTCCCCCCATTGTATACTCTTGTAGTTGCAAAACTTATCACAATCCTGCTATTATCCTATAATTCACAAAGTAATTACACTAGCTTATTAATTGTCTATGCTTTGTTAAAATCTGAATCAAGCTGAAAATTAGAGAGTACTCCAGAGAAAAGAAGATCCCTACATTGAAATATTTTGTCTCATAAACCCACTTCCCTATTCACTATCCTGTGTGTCGTCAATAGGTGAATGAAATTGTTAGTGATTATTCTTATTTCATTTTAGGTTTTATGTTTACAATAAAAAGAGACGTCTTGTCAACACGCCTTACGTGGACAACTCCTATAAATGGGCTGGTGGAGGATTTCTGTCTACCGTAGGCGACCTTCTGAAGTTTGGGAATGCAATGCTATATGGTTACCAAGTCGGGCTATTTAAGAACTCAAATGAAAATCTTCTACCTGGGTATCTCAAACCAGAAACCATGGTTATGATTTGGACACCAGTCCCTAACACAGAGATGTCTTGGGATAAAGAGGGTAAATATGCAATGGCGTGGGGCGTTGTGGAAAAGAAGCAAACGTACGGTTCTTGCAGGAAGCAGCGACATTACGCCTCTCACACCGGAGGTGCAGTGGGGGCCAGTAGTGTTCTGCTGGTTCTTCCTGAAGAACTGGATGGAGAAGCAACAAATAACAAGGTTCCCCCAAGAGGAGTAATTGTTTCTATTATCTGTAACATGCAATCTGTTGGCCTCAATAGTACTGCTTTAAAGATTGCTCTGGAATTTGATAAAGACAGATCAGATTGATACTTTAAGATTACAGGTTAAAAATTAGCTCTATTACTGGTTTTGAGGGTTTGTTTTTTTAAAAAAAGATACAAAAAAACCCAAAATATTGAAGCCTTTAAAGGCAGATTTTTAAGACTACATTTTAAATAGAGTATAATTGAACACAGAGAATAATGTATGGCTAATTACTTAATTTTATAAATGTATTTTATTGTAAGTGTAGTTCTTTATATTCAGGGAAATAACTATATTGTTTTTACTTTTTGGAAAAGTGTTAACACTTGAAATAAAATATTCTGATTATAAAG